GTGTGTGTGTGTGTGTGTGTGTGTGTGTGTGTGTGTGTGTGTGTGTGATGCCCCTTTCTTGGGTTCGGCACCCCGGGTGCCCTCTTCCTGGGCACTGATGCCAAGAAGTGCCCCGCGCGCCCCCGCTCCTTCAGGCCCCGCCCCTTCAGGCCCGCGCCTCCCAGAAGCCGGGCCTGCCCGGGGCTCCGCCCCCGCTGGAATGCAGCCCGAGCTCCTCCGCCGGCGCAGGGTCCGTTCTGCGGCTCCAGGCAGGCCGCAATGGCGCAGAATGAGGCGGGCTGCAGCAGCCCCGGCACGTCTCTGAGGTCCCTCAGTGACCGGAGCCGCCTAGAGGGGGCGATCCTGAGCGGCTGGAGGAACTTCTGGCAGTCGGTGGGCAAGGAGAGGCCGGGGCCCGGCGCCACGCCGGCGGATGACGAGGAGGCCAGCGCCCTGACTAGGCTGCCGGTGGGTGAGGGAGACCGGCCCGCCAGTGCGCCTGCGCCCGCGGGAAGGCGGGGAGGGGTAGACCCCGGAGCCCGGCCTTGGCCCTCTGCTTGGGGTTGGACGCTTTCGGTTCTGTTCTGTTTTCTGCGGGCTTCCTCCCTCCCGCCCCGGCACTCCCCCAAGCCTGGCCCGTTTCTCTTGATCCAGCAGCATTGATTAAGCACTTGCTGTGTGCCGGGTGCGGAGCTTGGCCCTTGGAGCCAGAGTGAAGCAGCCCCAGCATTCTGTTGAACCCGGGTCGTCATCTGGCCCCGAGGCCAGCCCTTTATCCACTAGGCCACACGGCCTCGTGATTTTACTGTTCATCAGCTCACCAGCACTGATTAAGTACTTAGTCTATGCCAAGCACTGAGCCAAATGCTGGGGGTACAAAGATAATAAGCAGCCAACATTTGTATAGCGCCTACTATGTGCCAGGCACTGTGCTAAGCCTGTAGGTGCTGTTATCCCCATTTTGCAGGAGAGGAAACTGAGGCAAACAGAGATTATGACTTGCTGCAATAATGATGGTGACAATGTTGTCCATAGCAAACATATAGTGCCTACTATGTGCCTACTTTGCTAAGCATTTTTTAATTATCTCATTTGATTCTTACAACAATCCTAGGAGGTTTTTGTTGTTTAGTCCTTTTCAGGTGTTCCCAACTATAAACCTACTTCATTTGGGGTTTTCTTGGCAAAGATGTTAGAATGGTTTGCCATTTCCTTTTCCAGCTTATTTTACAGATGAGGAAACTGAGGCAAATAGAAATTGTGACCTGCTATAATTATGATGATGATGATTAGCATTTATGTAGGCTTACTATGTGCCAGGTACTGTGCTACACACTTTTCAGTTATTTCATTTGATCCTCAAAACCACCCTGGGAGAGAGGTGCTATTATTTTCTCCATTTTATGGATGAGGAAACTGAAGTCTTGACAGAAGTGAGGGAGAAGTGACTTGCCCAGCGTCAGACAGCAAAGAAATGAAACCTTGCTCTCAAGAAGCTGACATTCTATTGGGAAAAACACAATATGGCCCCAGACATACCCCCAACAAACACAACATCTACATTCCAGGCTTCTCTGCTCTTAGAAACAGAAGTTTCTACAGGAGAGGCTTTTGAAACTGCAGTTAAGTATGTATATAAGAACAGCTAATAGTTACATAGTTTTAAGGTTTACAAGGTACTTTATATATAAGATTGCATTTAATTCTCCTTATAACCCTTCGAGGTAGATTCTGTGAGTGTATATATATTACTGACAAGTAAGCTGAGGCTTAGATGTTAAGTGACTTGCCCAGGTCACCCAGTATCAGAGAAGCAAGTTTTGGACTTTGCTCTTCCTGATGCCAAGCCCTGTACTATCTACTAAGCAATGCTGACCTCACTCAGAGTAAATACAAGAAAGTTAGGGAGGGCAATAGTAATTAGGATGATCCAGAAAGAACTCTGTAACAGATGGTGCTTAAGCTTGGTGTTGAAAGAAGTGAGGGATTGTTTGAGGTTGAGATGAGAAGGGAGAGTATTTCAAGCATATAGGAAAGACATTGCAAAGGAAAGATGGAGTTGTGCATGTGAAGAACAGGGAGAAGGGCAGTTTGACTGAACCCTCAGGTGCAGGAGAAGGAGTGTACTCTCATCTTGACTTCCTGGCTTCCCTGGCTTCCTTCATGTTCCAGTTAAAATCTCACCTTGGAGTCAAGACATTAGCCATTGTGATGTCATTGGTCTTCAGAAATGAAGGATGGGGGCAGCTGGGTGGCACAATGGATAGAGCACAGGCCCTGGATTCAGGAGGACCTGAGTTCAAATCGGGCCTCAGACACACAACACTAGTTGTCTAACCCAGGGCACGTCACTTAACCCCATTGCCTAGCCAAAAAAAAAAAGGATGAATAACAAAATCCCACCTTCTACAGGAAACCTTTCCTGATTCCCATTAATTCTAATTTCTTCCTTCTGTTGATTTCTCAGTTTTTCCTACATATAGCTTGTTTGTACATAGTTGTTTGCATATTGTGCCCCTCATCGGACTGTGAGCTCCTGGAGAGTGGAGACTGTCTTTTGCCTTTCTTTTGTGTATCCCCATTGTTTAGCATGATGGCTGGCACCCAGTAGGAACTTTAATAAATGTTCATTGACTGTCCCAAAAGTCTAAGTGAAGTTTTAAGATTTATAACTTATACAGGACAACTTGATTAATGAGCTTGGAAACAAAGCTTGGGACCATGTTTTGAAGAGTTTTAAAAAACAAATAGAGGTTTATATTTTATCCTAGAGGCGAGAGAGCTACTGTAGTTTGCTGAATAGGGAGTGAATGGTCAGATCTATACTTTAAAGAATGTGACTTTAAGCAGCTGGGTGCGTGATGTATTAGAATAGGGAGAAACTTAAGGTAGGAAGACTAAATAGGAGGCCATTGCAGTAGTCTAGGCAAGAAGTAATGAGAACCTGAGTTAAGTTGGTAGATGCGTGAGTAGTGAGAGCAGAACAAATGTGGGAGATGTAGAGAGGTACAAATGACAAGATTTGAAAACTGGTTTGGATATGTGGAGTGAGAAGGGTAAGTTGAGAATAATGCTGAGGTTTTGAGCCTGGTTGGGAACCTGAAAGAATGGTGCCCTTGACAGACATAGGGAAATTGGACAGAGGGGTGGGTTTAGCGGAAAAGAAGAGTTCAATTTTGGACTTGTTGAATTTGATACATTTTCTGTGACATGAAATTTTCAATAGAATGATGCAGAAGTGAAGCTAAAGAAAGAGGTTATGGCTGTGTGTGTGTATATGTATGTATATACATACATATGTGTGTATATATGTATATATACATATATACATAGGTTTGGGATTCCTTAGTATAGACAAATAATAAAAAGCGCTATAAAACTATGCATACCCTTTGATCCAGAAATACCACTAAGAGACCAAAGAAAAAGGGAAAGTACATATGTATATATATATATGCAGAAATGTTTATAGTAGCTGTATTTGTGGTGGCAAAGAATTGGAAATTGAGGGTATGTTCGTCAATTGGAGAATAGCTGAACAAGTTGTGATATATGATTGTAATGGAATACTATTGTTCTATAAGAACAACAGGTAGGATATTTTCAGAAAATTCTGGAAAGACTTGCATGAACTGATGCAAAGTTAAATGAGTAGAACCTGGAGAACATTGTACATTGTAAGAGCAATATTGTATGATGATCAACCGTGACTTTGCTGTTCTCAGCAATACAGTGATCCAAGATAATTCCAAAGGACTTATGATGAGAAGTGCTGTCTACCTCCAGAGAAAGAACTGATAGAGCCCGAATGCAAATTGAAGCATACTTTTAAATTTTTTCTTTATTCTTCTGGTATTTTTGTCTCCATTTTCTTTTCTCACATGGCTAATATGGAAATGTTTTGTGTGACAGCATATGTATTACCTATATCAAATTCCTTCCCTTTTAAATGAGAGGAGGAGGAAGGAAGGGAGAGAATTTGGGCCTCAACATTTTAAAAAACAAATATTAACAATTTTTATTTACATATAACTGAGGAAAAATAAAAATTAAACATAAAATTTAAAAAAACTTCAGTTTGAGCATATGGTATGCGCTCTGATGTTAAATGTATTTGCGTAGCATATTTTCTACTTTTTCTGACTGCTTTCATGTTATGTTGCATTTAATATTTCACATTAGTGGTATTGTTTTCTCAGCCTGTGGGTGAATACTGTTTTTCTACATGAGACATTGGGGGAGGAGGGTTATGTTAGAAGGATGGCACAGCCAAGATCCCTCTGAAAATCTTACTGAAGATGACCATAGTGTTTGTGACCGTAAATCTCATGATCCGCTCCTTTGAGACACATTAGCTGTACCTAGGGGATGGCCATAGAAAAGATCTCATCTTTATCCATAAGTGTTATGTTTCCCTAATTAGGAATTCTGGCATTCTCCTGTCTGACTGTAATCTGTCATCTCACCTATTACCCTTGTGCTGCTGAATGGAGCATGCTTGAGGAAACTGAGCCAAGTTTACTGGGAACATTACAAATCAATATTGCCTAACTCTAACTAGGCCCTTACTGTAGCAGGGCAGTGCCTAATAAATGTTTATTGAATGATTCCTTAATATTTAATTCACTATTCCAAACCTTTTCCTTGCTTCAGTTTCCTGCACCCTGCCTGTTCTCTCTGAGCTCTTATTTTACTGAGAAAATCGAGAACATTTGATGTGAGCTTGGTCTTCCATTCTCTTCATCTCAGAACCCCTTGACATCTCTCAGTCTTCCTTTTCTGTTTTTTTAAAAGTATGTTTAATTTTTTTTTAATCAGCAAAAACTTTTTCCACCCTAACGGCCTCCCCTGCCTCCATTAAGAACAGAGGGGAAAAATGCTTTTTATAAACACGTATTATCAAGCAAAACAAATTTCTGCATTGGCCATGTCCAAAATACACACACACACACACACACACACACACACACACACACACACACACCCTTTGTATTTTCTATAATGTTGTGTTTGTACAAATTGTTCTTCTGACTATTCATGTAAATCTTCCCAAGTTTCTCTGAAACTATCTCATTCATCATTTCTTACAGCAACATAGTATCCTGTCTTATTTTTATACCCTAACTTGTCCAGTCATTCTCCAGTATATGGAAACCCTCTCAAATTCCCATACTTTGCTGTCTCAAAAAGTTATAATTATTTCCATACATCCTTAGGGCTTATTTTGCTTAGGACTAATATCTCTCTCTGACTCTACCCTTCTCCTCTTTTCCTCCTATTTCCCTATTGAGTGTATCCAACTCTGTGTGTGTGTGTGTGTGTGTGTGTGTGTGTATGTGTTCTTCCCTCCTTTTACCAGTTCAAATGACAGTGAGATTCAAGTATCAGCTTCCATCCCTACCCCCTACCTGATTGTGTTCCCTTCCCTCCCAATGTATTCCTTCCTTTTGCCTGTTTTTCTTTTAGGATCATCAAGACATGACAGAACTGTTCCCAAGCCTTCAGTCTAATTAGACTCCCTCTATGACCTCTGCGGACAATAATGTTCACAGGTGACACGTGTATCATCTCCTTATGTTAGAATGTAAGCAATTTATCTTTCTTTAGTCCTTTATTGTTGTTTGTTCGTGTTTACCCCTTTATGTTTCTCTTAACTCTTGTGTCTGGACTTCAGAGTTTTAGCAGAATGCTGGTTTTTTCATCAGGAATGCTTAAAAGTCCTTTATTTTGTTAAAGAGCAGTTTCTCCCCCTGTAGCATTATATTCAGTTTTGTTGGTTAAGCAATTCTTGGCTGTAAGCCTATATCCTTTGCCTTATGGAATATGGTATTCCAGTCTCTCTGCTCCTTTATAGTTGTCACTCTTAAATTGTGTGTGATCCTGACAGTGAGTGGCTCCTTGGTACTTGATTATTTTCTGACTGTTTACAGTATTCCCTCCCCCTTTGACCTTGAGCCTCTGGATTTTGGTTGTAACATTCCTGAGAGTTTTCATTTGGGAATATATTTGGAAGTTGATCAGAAGATTTCTTCTGTTTAGGTGCTGGTTCTAGGCAGTTTTCTTTTTAAGATTTCTCAAAATGTGATGTCTAGGCTTTTTGGTCATGGTGTTTAGATAGTTGGTGACTTAATTTTTTTCTACTTTATTTTTTTTTCGGGTCAGTTGTTTTTGCTATGAAGATACCTTACATTTTGTTTTGTTTTGTTTTTCAATCTTGACTTCATTGTAATATTTCTTGTTTTCTCATGGAGGTATTGACTTCTATTTGGCACATTTTGATATTCAGTAAGTTTTTTTGCTTGGGCAAGGTTTTGTACCCTTGTGTCAAATTGCTAATTTCCTTTTCAAGTTTTTCTTTCATACTCTTCTCTTTTCCAGTTTTTTCCTCTAGCATTCTCGTTTCATTGACAAAAATATTTTTAGCTCTTAAAAAAAAAAACAAACATCCTTTATTCTTCTCTTCCAGGAATTCTAGTTGAATTTGTGTCCAAACTGCTTTTCTTTAAGGCTGTGCTGGTAGATGTTTTGGAATAATTCTTTTCTTCTGGTTTTGTGTCGTAAGCATCCCTATTACCATAATAGCTTTTTATGGTGAATTTGTTTGTTTTTTTTATTCTTCCAGCCTGCTTCTTTACTGGATTTGATGTTAAGGCCTGGCTCAGTGCATTTCTGTAGAGAGAGTCTGACCTGGTCCTGTCTTCTTGGTTCTTTGAGTGTTCCTGATGTAGGTTTGGGTCTGAACAATAATAGACTGCTACTGCATTCAGCCATGGTCAGCCAGGTGGGAAACTGCTGGTTCAGACTTACAGAACTGAAGGCTCCCCTTTGGTTTAGGATTCCTGCCCTGGTTATTTTTCTGCAGACTTCAGACTGTGTTAAAAGCTTGAAATTATAACCTCACTGCTTTTGGGAATTTGAACCTCACTGTTACTTGTTTGCTTCTGAACCTGCTTCTTCTTAGTATACTGCTTAGGGTCTGAGACTGCTATGTGTTGGGGTGGCAGAGGAGAATGGAGAAGTTACAACAAGTTCTCTTTAGGCCCACCCTAGATCTGTGACCTGGAACTGGGTAGTAGGCAATAAAGTTGCCAGTTTTCACTTGTCCCTTTTGTTGTGCCCTGGTACATGTGTGAGTTCTCTTCTTGCCCTGATTCACAGCTTCTCCTTGGGTGCTGGTGTGTGCTGAGTGCAGTGTGTCCAAGTCCCATCTCCAGTGTCCATAGACCTCCCTGTCTGTCTTCCTATGCCAACCTGGGCTTGAAATATAGCTTGCTGAGTTTTTCTTGTATTTCCCTATTGGGATTTGGTCTGGTTTATTTTCTAGAAATGTTTGGAGAGGAGTTGGGGGGAGCTCCTCTATGCCCTGCTTTCTACTACTCCACCACATTGGCTCCTACCCACTTTTCTCCACTTTATCACAGTTGACCTTTCTCCTTGCCAAGGCCAACTCCTCTACGTGTGTGCTTGATCCCTTCTCATTTTCTCCAACAGATTGCATCCTCAGTTATTCTCTCTTCCCTTTATTTTCCTCTTCTCTCCTGCCCTCTGCTTTCCTCTCTCCTTTCACCTTCTTTCTTCTTTTCTCATCTCCATCTCCATATCCTCATTCCTTTCCTGCTGTCTCCAAACCTGTGTACATCTGCCTCATTGTTAAAAACCTCTTCACTATATCCTCTCATCCCTTCAAGCTGTCATTTTATATCTCTTCTTTTCTTAAATTCCTCAAAAAGATGTCACAATTCCCTACCTTCAATTCCTCTCCTGTTAGTCCTTAACCCTTTGCAGTCTAACTTCTGATCTCATCATACAAATAAAACATCTCTCCAAAGTTACCAGCAATCTCTTAGCTGCAAAATCTGATGATTTTTTTTTCCTTATCTGCCTCATATAGCACCTTTTGTTCTCTCTCCAGTCTGGGTTTTGGTGACACTGCTTTCTTTTGTTTTTCTTCCCTCTTATCTGATTGGCTCCTTCTTGGTCTCCTTTGCTGATTCAACATCCATATAATATTTCCTAAGGTTCTATCCTAGACTCTCTTCTCATTCTATATTCTGTCATCAGCTCTCATACATTTAATTACCTTCTTTATGCAGATCACTGTAAGATTTATGGGTCTAAACCCAGTCTTTGTCCTGAGTGCCAGTCCTGTGTCACTGATTGCCTATTGGGCATTTTAAATTGGATTTCCCAGAGACATCTTAAAACTCAGCATATTCAAAATTAAAGTCATTATCTTCTCCCCTCACCCCACTTATCTTATCACCCTCCACCCTTCTAAACTGCCCTATTTCTGTCAAAGTTACCACCATCCTTCCAATCTTCAATTTTATAGCCTTGGTCTTATAAGGATATCAAGGGATGATCCAGCCAAATATCCATTCAGTTGCCAGACTTTCTGTTTCTTCTCACACAACATCTCTTGCATCCAGCACCTTCTCTTTTGTCACAAGCTACCATATTAGTTCATGCCTCATCACTTCTTCTGTAGATTATCATGACATACTTTTTTAAATTGGTTACCTTGCCTTAAGTCCCTGACCACTCTGCTCCATCCTACACATTGCTGCTAAAGTAGTTTTCCTTCTGTGCACATCTGACCATGTTACCCTCCTACCCAAGCAACTGCGTTGGCTCCTGTGCTTCTAGGGTAAAATATAAAATCTTCTGTTTGACTTTTAAAGCCCTTTACAACCTTGCCCCATCCTATCTTTCCAAGATTGTTGGATATTACTCCACTTGCTCTGTAATCCTCCCAAACTCTACTTCCTCCTGCTTTTCACCCAATACTCCCTCTCTCATCTCTGTGCCTTTGCACTGGCTGTGACCCACACCAGGAATGTACTCCCTCATAGCATTCTTCTCTTCCTTGGTCATGAAGCTCAAACATCATTTTCCACAAGAAATCTTTCCTGATTCCCTGACTTCTAGTGCTTTTTCTCCAAACTACCATGAATTTAACTACTTTGTATATATTTATATTCTTTTACTTTATGTTTCTGCAATTTGTGATCCTATGTGTGCTTTCCTTCCTTACTAGAAAGTGGTTCTTTGAAAGTATGGATTGTTCCTTCTCCGTATTTATATCCCTAGTGCCAAACCTGTCACATAGCTTAATAAACTTAAACATTTGTTGATTGATTGATGGTCTAACCCCCTGAAAAAGTTATATTTGAACCAATCACTGCCTGAAAGATGGATCAGACTTCCATAAAATAGTAAATTAGATTTTGGATGGTAACTCAGATAATGGTCTTTTACAGAGTGGTTTTTAAAAAATAGTGTAATGTAGTGTTAAATCATAATCGCCTGTTGACTTATTGTTGGATTTCTGCAAGAAAGACTTAACCAAAAAGTACTACAGTTTAAGGGTTGGAAAGATCCATAATGGGAGTGAAATAACCACCAATTTTCTCCACTAAAGGCAGAAAAAAAATAGACAAATCATAGAATGAGGGATTTGTGTTTGACTGTGATATGTTATAGTGTTACCATCACATCTACATGCTGTAGGAGACAGGAAAGTTGGCCTCGGAATCAGGAAGCCCTGGATTCAAGCATTGCCTCTGATATGACCTTCTGGAAGTCACTAAACCTCTCAATGCCCTCAGGTGATTCTTTAGGACCATGAGTTACCAATGCTACAGCCCATCAGTCTGTGGAAGAGGTTTCCATACCAGGCAGTTCTTTATACCTCCAGTAAATAAATGAAATTATAGCTATAGACCAAAACAAAAAATTCAGCTTTAAGGATTAATGATGTTTGGTAATCTTATAGTTTTATAATTTCTTGATTGTTTTGTAATTTTTTTTAATCACGTATACATTATCTAGGCTGTGATTTATTGAAGCTGCAATTTACCCATCTTCCTGTCCTTCTGTGTTTCAGATTTATGTGCAGTTGTACATTATGTCATTTCTTTCACCTCATGATCTGTTTGAACTGGGAAGGACAAGTCGATATTGGAATGTAACTGTACGAGATCCTATGCTGTGGAAATTTTTTCTTTTGCGGGATCTTCCCTCTTGGTCATCTGTCGACTGGAAGTCTCTACCAGACCTACAAGTCTTAAAAAAACCGTTATCTGAGGTTATTGACAATGAACTTTATGACTATATGACAATGTAAGTATTCAGTTTCATAAAATTAAAACAAAACAAAACAGTGACTGCTGTTTCTGTGAAGGCAGTGGAGGATCATGCCAGATTTGGAGTCAGAGGATTTGGGTGCCTATCCTGACTGCCATTTGCTGGGTGTGTGACTTTCAGCATGTCATTTAAGTTCTGTGTGCTTCAGTTTCCTCATTCATAAAACCAAAGTGTTTGGACTCTGTTATATCCCTTCCCTGTATCCCTTCCTTACCCCTGGAGGGTAGGTCCTGGTGGCAGACCAGGATGAGTCAGAGGAGGAAGGCTATGTCTTCTCAAGATGCCTGTAGTGGGGTGAATAAATTCAGTCAAGCCCCAAGTTCCAGCCATCTTAGATTCTAGTTCTCAGAACTGGGTGTAGATTCTGGGACCTATACTGACCTCATCAGGCTGGAACAATTTTCATCAACAAATCTTGTACCACCTGCCTATCCTTAATCACTTAACTGTTTCCCCATTTTCCATTCCAGTTTAATTTGACTTTCTTTTAGTGTGGGAGAGTACATGGAGCATTAGCTTGAGAGTTAGGTTTGGGTCTTTGCCACCAACAAGTTGTGTGACCAGAGTTCTTTTGGTTTATAGTATTTGGGGGTTTGTGTACCCACTTTGTTTCCAGTTCTTTGCAACCATAAAAGTGCTACCATGAATATTTTGATACATATTTAACTGTTATGTATTTGACTTCTAGGGGGTATGTATGGATGTGTGTGTGGATGTTTGTGTATGTATATGCACATTCAATAGTGGGATCATTGGGTCAAAGGTTATTAACAGTTTCGCACATACTTTTTCACGTATAACTTTTCATGCATAATTCTAAATTGTTTTCCAGAGCACAAATGGATCAAATCACAGTTCTACTAACAGTATATTGGTGTTCTTGTTATTCCACAGTCTTCCCAGTGTTGACTATTTCTGTTTTTTTTGTTGTTTGTTTTGTTGTTGTTTTGGGCATCTTTCCCAGCTTGCTAGGTGTGAGATAATGGAGGATGACTTGTTGCTAACACCTGAAATATCTCTATTATATTTGTTTTTTAACTATCGATTTAACAAACATTGATTGACAGACTTAAAATTCCTCCTGAGGCAGTCTCAGTGGTTTAATGAGAATGATAAAAGAAGATCATAAATAAGATGTTTTTCTTCTTTTTTAATTTCTAGTTATGGCTGTCTTAAACAGGTATAAAATGAGCTGTCCACATACCAGAAGACATTTGAAATCCAGTCGCCACATGTATGGAGCTGTTGCCTCTTTTTTGCAGTCACTGATCCTTCAGACCGAACCTCGATTTGCTATGTTTGGACCAGGTTTGGAAGAGCTGAATGTATCTTTGGTGTTGAGCTTGATGTCTTGCGTGGAACTTTCCCCAATGGCTGGTTTACCTCAGAGGCAAATTGATGGTAATTTCCACATTCATCTATGGTGTATGGGAATTTGAATGCTTTGGGCTTGATTCTACCGTTGAGTAGGCAGAAAATTACTCATTATTTAATGGTGAGTTAACTCTTTGAAACAAATAAGATAGAATAATTTGATGCAGTGGAACATCCAGTAGTACCAGTGAGCTAAAAGTAATTCACCTTGAAAATATTGAGCGTTTTCTTAGAAGTTAATGAAAAATAACTTTATATAATATAACCAAGGATTATGAAAAATTTACTGTTTAGCAGAGCATTTAATTTTTATAATAGAGGTCATAGATGTCATAGTTTAGAAAGAATTAATAGCAACAAATATTTATTGAATTTTTACTCTATGCACATCATTTTACTAGGTGGTGGGGATACAATAACATATAAGACTTAGTTCTGACCCCTCTGGAGCCGATAACTAGTTGAGAATATAGGACATATACATAAAAAAGATAAATAAGGTAGTATGTGCTAAGTAGCACTTGAGTGATATTGGCTTCCTCACTCCAGCTCCTGTAGCAACAATGAATGCAGTAGCTTGGACTTGAGGGACAACTGGAAGTGGAAAGACCAGTAAAGAGTAAATTTTTTAGGCAGTGATGAGGACCTGAACTAGGGTGACAGTAGTGAATAGGGAAAGGGATAAGAGATTTGAAAGAATTAGGAAGAAAGAATTGATAATACTTGGTGATTAGATGTGGAGAACAAAGAGGAGGACTAGGGAGGGAGAGGTACCCAAGGTTTCAGGCTTAGGAATCTGGGAAAGTATTGTTGACAAAAGTGGGTAAGTCAGGAAGAGGGGCTGACTTTTGGAGAAATGGAATGCTTGAGTTTTTAACATGTTGCATTCATGTGGAAATGGTAGAAGGTTAAAGATACAAGTCTGGATCTTAGGGGAGAGATTAAGGTTGGACATAGAGATTTACAGGAGGCATTTATATTGAGACGATAGTTGACCTGGTGAGAATGGAAGAGATCTGTGAGATAGAATACAAGGAAGAGGAATTTTGAAAACGATTACCTCAAAATCCCTCTGTATGTCCTCCATGTTTCTCCTTCACTCTAGTATCTGTTGAAGAGGTAACCTTTTCCCTTGCCAAGGCCGACTTATCTCATCGTGCCATTTATCTCATCCAATTCTGCCTCCTCTAGGATCTTGCCCCTCACTCAATTATATTCATTCTCTCTCCTTGACTCTCCACTCTGTCTCTCTCATCTTCATTCCCTCCTTATCTTCCTCTTGTTCACCTTTTGGAATTCCTAGTTTCCATCAAAACCCAGTTCACCACCATAAAAAGACTTACATGAACTAGTGCTAAGTAAACAGATGCAAGAAAACAATAAGCACAATGAATACAACAATGTAAATGGAAAAAATAACTATAATACAGTTGAAAGTGAATATTATAGAACTACAGAAGACAAACTTGGCTTCAGAGAAGGGATATGAGAAGACACTTCCCCTCACTTTATTCCTTTGCAGAAATGAGGAGCCCACTAGTGTAGAACATTGACTCTATTGTTACATTTAAAAAAAAATTGATCAGTTTTTCTGATTTTTCATCTTTTAACTCTCTTGGAAGGAGAAGGAGAGAGATTACAGGGGGAAACTTAGGCAATGTAAAAACAAATTATGTTAATGCAGTTTTATTTTTGAAAAATACTTCAGTTCAGGCATTACCTTCTACATGAAGTCTTTTTTGATCCCCGCTCCTCCCAAGTGGTGTTCTTCCCCAAACTGTCTTGTATGTATTTTGTGTGTGTGTGTGTGTGTGTGTGTGAGTGTGTGTGTATCCTGTATAATTTTGTACAGAATATAAGTTCCTTGAGGCCGGGGGCTTTTGCGTTTGTCTTTGTATTTCCATTGCTTAGCACAGTACATAGCACATTTGTTGTTATTCAGTCATTCAGTTGTGTCCTGACTCTTCATGACTCCATGTACCATAGCACAACAGTGCTGTCCGTGGGGTATTCTTGGCAAAAAATATTGGAGTGGATTCCCATTTCCTTCTCCAGCATTTAGCACATACTAGACAATAAATGCTTCATTGATGTTCTAGGATTGAAGAAGTTTATTACTTTACCACTGTTAATTGTACATGAAATGTAGAACGACTATTATAGCTTATGTTTTTACTAAATAAAGTCATGATACATAATGTGAGCTTCCTAAACTTGAATATACCATGTTAGCAAAAAGTTCTCAATAATACTCTAAATTGGGAGAAATTTTTTAAAAATGGATTATTAAGCTATTAGGCTCCCTTGTGCGTGAGAAGAGGTGGATTTATGTGATTGGAAAGGAGATGGACTGTTCATATAATGAGAATGAAAGAAAATAGACAGCAAACTGAGTACATTGGAACCTCCTGAAATAATAAAAGAACAAAGAGAAGGTCTTGGGTACATTAGAATGGATACTGTATTGAGCATTTATGGGAAGACATAGACAAAAATTTCATGAACAGTTTGTGCTACAATTTCATAGCAATAGTACCTATATCATTGAAATTATAGATCAACCAAGGCAAAGTAATACACTTTTTAAAAGAAAGCTCCCTTGGATGTTGGAAGGTTAAAGGCCTACAGTAGCTATTTATTTAAAAAGATGTTGACCTTGGCTGATGGGACAAAGGAGTGAATATTTTAGTAGGACACAGTATTCTTTGAAACGTAAATCAAATGAGTTATCTAGTAATTTGTGGATTCAGTAGCTTTGTACTAAGAAACAGACTTAAAATAAAATTTCCCTAACAATTGTGAAATAGGCACATATTTTAAAAATTTGGTAGTGATGCTGAGTCTAAAGAACAGTAGATTGGGAGTTGAAAAGAGCAGAGTATCCTGGGTAAACACACTTAGTAATTGTTTGACTGTGGGCAAATCACTTAACTTCTCTAAGTCTCAATTTCCTTATCTGTAAAATGGGGATAATAGCACTTTACAGGGCTATTATGAAATTCAAATGTGAAAATATATGTAAAGCGCTTCGCAGACTTTAAAACACTACATGTACTAGCTATTTTTTGTATATGTACATATACAGACACACACATATGTATATAGGAGAAGGAAATGACAAACTATTCCAGTAACTTTGCCAAGAATCCCCACCCACAAAAAAAAGAAATTTTCATGATACTTTTGTTGTATATTTGAAAGGAATAGCAAGTTGTTCATAGTAGACTTGCAGTTTCATATGCAATCATCTTTTTTATTGTATGATGTCATGGAAATGTTTATTTTATTCCATAGATTAAAAAATAAAAGAAAACTGAAAAAAAAAAAAGAAAACTTCAAATGGGGTCATGGTGAATTGGACACAGCTGAACAACAAAAAAACAAGTATATGTACATGTACACTCATCTGTGTGTGTGTATACACATGCACACACACACACACACACACGAGCCATTATTATTACTTGGTACAATTTGGCTCTACCCAGTTTTATTTTGATTAGTTGGTGACCAATGTTTCTGACTGATGTGTTTACAATGGGGAAAAATTATAGAATTCATGGATTACAATATCTATACTTCTATTCCTCAAACTACAAATATATATATATATATATATGAAGATTTTCCTGAGTTTTATTTCCAGGTATGAAATCAAATATACTTATAAAATCTATTTTACTGTTGGTCATTAATGGCCATAAGGTCAAGGTAGATGCTCCTTAGGAAAATGAATAATTGGTTTTGGGAATGATTATGTACGTGTAATAACTTGCAGATGGACTAATTCCTACTGGACATTATCCAATCTTTAAACCATTTTTCATTTTACTAGACCACTGATTATCCACATTTGCTTTTAATTTTGATTGCAAATTGCCAAAATGGGGTATAATACAACCCCACCAAAATCCTGATTTTTTAGTTTAATTTAAAAAAATACAGAAAAGTAATCTTGAACCTTTAGTATAGGTTGGTACTTTTTCAAACTGCTCACTCTTAGTTAAAGAGAGATATATATATACACACACACACATATATACATACACATATATATACATATACACATATATACATGTATACACATATAAAAGAATTTTAGAGTGTTATTTTTTTATGGTTGGAGTGGGAATATATATATTATCTTTTAAAATTAGTTATTTTAACTTTTATCAGAAATCTATGTAAACTTAGCTTAATGGCTTACATTAGCTTTTTGCTAACAGGTAAAAGAGTATTGTCTAAGGCTAATTGTCCTTTGTTGTTCTTTATCCAGATTTTTAATACTGCATGAATGAAAGTCACATGCAGCCCCCCCTTTTCTTCAGCTCAGGTGTAATATTTTATTCCAGAGCCACACATAAAGAATTATCATTTGGCTCTTTTTGTTCTCACTAGGTGTTCTTTCAGCCTTTCTCTTCTGCTGTATTCAGTAATAAGTTGTTTTGATTTTGTATTTTTCTCCTTCAGGCATTGGATCAGGAATCAGTTTTCAGTTGAGCAACCAACATAAATTCAATATCCTGGTATTATATTCAACCACTAGGTAAGGCTACTTATCTTGTGACCTGCCTGGAATCTGACTGAGACATTTTTATGGGTTAGGGCCCTGTTGAGTTTCTGCTTGTGTGTTTTATTTTAAAAATTTTATCTTTTAGGAAAGAAAGGGATAGAGCAAGAGAAGAACAAACGAGTGCAGTCAACAAAATATTCAACAGGCAGATTCCTGGAAATGATGAACAGAGGGGCCGATACAGTGTGATTCCACAAATTCAGAAGGTGTGTGAAGTGGTGGATGGGTTCATCTACGTTGCAAATGGTGAAGCTCACAAAAGTAAGCATTTTCTTATCTTTAAAAAAATCACACTGGCCATTTTATTGTTTGCAATGAAAGTGGGAACATGTATTTTTTTTTAATATGGCTTTCTTAAGGACATAATGAGTGACAGGTTAATTTGGATAATATGATTATATGATATTCTGTGAAAAGTTCTTATTTAGTCCTGCTTCTGAAGTAAGTTTTATATAGATTCTCTTATTCAGATAATCCTGGCCAAGAATAAAATCCTATTTTTGCTTTTTTTTTTAATTGCCTAGATAACGAAGGAAAAGGAGGGAGTAGAGCATTGGCCTCAATTGAGAAACTTAGTTGTCTGCATAATCCAGATTTTCTGCATAATTGTGAGCTTTTCCTTTTGTGTTATGTAACCCTGACATTACAGTGCGGATGACTTCAGGCCAGTTTATTAATTTCCTGTTTAACTAAGATAGAGAGTGACTAGACCTGTGATTTCACTGATAAAGTGAATTGCTGTTCAAGGAAATTCTCTTTCCTGATGCAGGTCAATGCCTTCTTTGTAATTTATAATCTTAGAGAATTGCTTAGAGCATTGAGAAATTAAATGACTTGCCCATATTTTCATTTCTAATTTCAGAGACCTTTTTTACAAAGGTACTTTAGGTTCTTAACCAGCTATAGACTAGAGATTTTGAGAGAGCTTATTTATAAGATATTAATGAAAGCAGTAAGTTCTGGAAAATAGAATATATTATGAGAAGCCACGTATCTAATAAAGGAAGAAATTTGAAAACTCTTAAGTTCTATATAAATGTTTTTCGATGTTATGTTTAGCTAATAGAATTAGGCTGGTCTCTAGTAGAAAAGGCTATGGTAGCATTTGACTGTTAAAGAAATGCTTTGTAAATATTGGCGATCAGATAGTTATCATTTATTTTCTACTAAGATTATATCTATATAAGAGTCCTGAACTTATAATTTTAAAAATTATCTTAATTGTTCATTTCTACAAAATGAATTCATCCAATTTGGCCATAAAGAAAACATCTTTCTCCCCAGCCTTTCCCCAGCTCAAACACAGGCTTAGCTATTTTGTAATCTGATATTTAAAATTCTATCATGGGACATAAGTGATGATGTAGTGGAAAGAACTCTGAACTTGAGTCAGGAAACCTGGGTTCACACTCTGTGTCTGATATTTGCTGGGTGTTTGACTTCAAGTCTTTTCACCATTTTGAGTCTTGGTTTCTTCTATAAAATCAAGATAATAATACTTGAACTCTCTGTCTCACAGGGTTTTTCTGAGGAAAACACTTGATAAACTAAAAATATTGTATAAATGTGAGCTTTTATATTATTGACTGCGAATGGGACAGAGCAAAAAGTGATTAAATTGCTTCAGGAAAGACATAAGTTCCATTAGGACTCAGCTCAAATGCCACATCTTCTATGAAGCTTTTCCTGGGCACTCCACCCAGAAGTGGTGCCTGCCATCTCTAAACCCCTATAGTAATTGGTTTGTTTAACTCTTAGGGAACTTAGCTCATACTGTCTCATATGTAGTTACTCATGTGCATGTTTCATGGTCCCCAGTAGATTGTTGAGATCAAAGACCATATCTTCAACGTCTTTGTTTTTCACACAGACCTAGCGCAGGGATTCGTACAGTATAGTTGTTCTGCATACCCGTCAAATGAATGAAACAGTGAAGAAATTAGGAAGACCTTCCTAATACTCCCAAAGAGTATGAGAGAGACTCGCTACTTCATGGTTATTTTTAAGAATACAATAGACTACTGTTTCTATGATTTGATCTATGAAGCAAAAAGATGGACTGATTTATTTTTCAATACTTCTTCTAGTCTAAGACTTTTTATAGGCAGCCATCAATTTCCCCATTATGTTAAAACCCAGCAGTGAAAATGAACTTAGAAGTGCTTCAGTATCAAAAGCTGTGTCTGCTTTTGTGTCCCTTGTAACACCTTCTACAGTGCTTTGCACCCAGTCAGTGCTGTTCACACAGTTATTCTTGATATATACTTGATGATTGAATGAATGTGGAGTTATCTTTTTCAGCAGACTCTTTGGAAAAGGTCAAAACTCATGTTTAATTTTACTTCATTTTTGAGCGTATGGAGCCAAACAGTCAAAAGAGAGGAGAAAGAATAAAGGAAAATAGAATAAAATTATAGTATTAGAACTGGAAGAGACAGTGGAGATAATGTAGTTTTAGTCCTTCATTTTACAGATTGGAAAACTGAGGCATGGAGAAGTTTGCTTTGCATAAGGTTATAAAGCTTAGTGCTAAAGCCAGGAATAAAATCAGGACCTTCTGATTCTTAACCCAGTGTTCCTTCCAAATGAGAGAGAATAAAAAAGAAGTAGGAAAAAAATGAATGAGTATCCTAAATACCCAGTGGTAGCAAAGTGTACCATATCATTGAGGTCAGTGAAAATTGAAATTAGTTATAGGTTAGGGCTTTAAAAAGATGAGAGACAACTATAAGGAATTTTTGAATGACTTGAGTATTAGATTTATATTTATAGATGAGTATTTGAGACATTTGCTTTGTATTCTCTAGTTCTTCTTAAAAACTTGAAATGTCATAATCAGCAAGCATTCATTAAGCACCTACTGTGTGCTAGGCACTATATTAGGCACTGGACATATAAATGCAAAAAATGAAATAATATTCCCAGGTTTTCTTAGTACAATTTTGTCAGAGTAGCAGCTAAGTCTAGAGCGTGAGCAATTTTCATGTGTCTTGTCTCATCGTGGTCATTTTCCTCTCACAAAGGATGCAAAGGTTTCTCCTTGTGTTCTTTAGGACATGAATGGCAAGATGAATTTTCTCACATTATGGCAATGATAGACCCAGCCTTTGGATCCCCAGAAAGACCTTTGCTGGTTTTATCTTGTATTTCTCAAGCCACTGTAAAAAGGATGCCTTGTCTTTATTTGGCACATGAGCTGAAACTAAATGAACTTCAACTGCCTTGGATGGTAAGCTCTCATTTCTTTCTCTTAACATTTTTCTATAATTGAATAGCATACTAAAGCCAGTTATAGAAGTCAAAAGCTACAGAAAGCGTTGCTAATTTATGAATTAAATGAAATTTAGCGAATATATTTAATGAATATATTTATTGAATAATAAATGAAATTAAATGAAAATTAGTTTGAAGTGATCGACTGTTAATCCTCTTCACTAGTCTTCTGTCTATATGAGAATATAGAAAAACAATAAAATAGCAGTTCAGCTCAGCAGGCATTTGTTAAGTACCTACTTTGTGCATGTATGAGGCAATGTGTTAGGCTTTCAGGAAATGTTGATACTTATGGAGAAAGGAACTGTGATTTCATTAGCATAGGGAACTCTAGGTGTGGAAACAACCTCTACCAATACACATTGCAACCCATCTGTGACTTAACAGATTAACATAGATTATAGATTTGAAAGGCACCTTGTTTCCATTTTAATCCAGCAGCCTCATTTTATAGGTTAAATCCTAGGGAACTGCCTAAAGCACGTGGAAATTATGCAACTTGTCTATTGTCACCCTGCTAGCGAATGTCAGAGGCTACAGTCATGGATTGGGTAATCATTTTGTTTTTTCAGCCTTCATCATTCGGATTTTTTCATAAGTAATACATTATTTTGTTAAAAGTTACACACTCTATTGTGTACAATATGGCAATATGGTTTGGTGGAAGGATTGCTGAATTAGGAGAGAACTTTTATTCAGATCCCAACTTTGTCACTTACTACCTGTATGACAAGTCACTTCATTTTGTTGGGCCTCACAAGAGTTTGTTTATTTGTTAAAAAAAAAATACTAATATTGAGAGGGTTGTACTAGATGGATATCTGAGTTTGCTTCTGACTCTGAATCTATTAACCCTTGTATCTCTTGTGAGTGACAGGTGTTTCAGTTCTTTTATATGTATTAGAAATGAAAGTATCAAAAATACTTTTGGTACTAATGTCATATTTCTTTTCAGCTGTAAGCTTTGTTTATTCAAGGCTTTTGGGGTAATTTTTTGGAATTCAAAGTGGACCCCTTTGGAATAATTTGTCTTAATTCATATAACCCAATAATGACTTAGAAATTTAGCAACTACCATGTACCCCATTAGTGTAATGTAATAAATTATATGCCTTAAATTAATAATTAATAAATTATGTGCATTTAGATGGGCAACCTATTGAGTTAGTTTATTAATACATATATCTTGGGCAAACACTACAGTTAGATAGTGAACAGGGCCTGAAACAATAAGAGGGATCAGTCTGGGTTGCATCAGGGAAATTGTGCATCATTTTTAATGATCTCAAGCTCTTCTCCTTTCTGACAGAAAAAAAAAAACATCCATCTTTCAACCAAAAAAGTCATTGTTTTGGTGATGCTATATGGCTATGCATCACCACAATTTCCAAAGAATCAGAATCGCAGATGACCCAAAGGATAATGTAGAGACACATGATAGAGATATATGTAAGCTTATGGTATACCACCACCAGGACCTGCATGGAAGAAATACTATAAAAGATATCATTCAGGAGAGGTAGGATCAGAAAAGAAAGCAGTCTGGACATGTAGTGAGAAGGAAGACTTACATAGGGGCATACTGAGGAGAAAACAGGACTAGGTAAGCCTCTAACTTGTTAGGTAGTTTCTATCTGGAGGATTTGTGGGAAGATAAGAATTGCTCAGGATGAAAGGCATGGATGGGTTCCGGTCTCTACCTGTAGAGGGAGTGCTTACATTGGTGAAATCACAAGTCAGTTGAAGTATAATAGAAATTATTATAGTACACTCCTATCTTGATAAAATTTGAGTGACCCATTCATTCTAGGGTTTTTGTTTTTTAAAATATTTTATTTTTCATGTATTTGTGTAAATGCTGGTTTAGTTTAAGTACTAACACTTGAAAATTGTCCTCTGTTACATTAGGCTTAAAGCAAGGGAGCATGTGCTACAATTTTTATCTCTTGCCCCTTTATCCACTGTGGAAGCGAGTTACATGCCTGTCCCTGCCTCAGCATTCATTTATCCTTTTCTTGCAGACCCTGTGAGATGTCACAGTTCTGATACTCAGGAAAGTCTAGACCCGAAGAGACATCCTGCCACTCAGTGTTCTAAACACAACATTTTCTCTTATCCTTTTGATTATTGTATAACAATATCCAGAACACTGAGGCCATTGAGACAGTTTTTCAGAGACTGATTTTCCAATTGAAACTCCAAACATTCTGATCTGCCATTTAGAGAGAAAATCTTTCTTTTTTTGGTCACAGAGTTTTGTTTTTAAAAATTAAAATCTTTTATTGTATATTTTCCTAGGTGCAGGATGTGGAAGCTGAGACTTTAACTGGGTTTTTGAATGGCATTGAATGGATTCTTGGAGAAGTTGATTATAAACATCCACTGTGATCCTTCTCATGTGCGCTGACTTAAGGACTAAGCCATTTGAAATTTGGTTTTAAGGACATGATGTAGGTGTTTCCTCAAGCTTGCTTTGCCCTTTCTTTGGTTTTCTGCCAGGTGAGATTTAAATGGGCATAGCTGTAATTGTTGAGTTTTCCACAATAAATCTAGCTTTAATCTTAAGTGAATTACAAAGGAAATGTATATGTGGTGGTACCTAACCCCTTCCCAATGAATCTTTTTGAGTTTTTTTTTTGATGTTTTTTGATATTTTTATTTTAAATTTAAATTTCCTCATTTTACTGTCTATAAATTCAGAAATATTAGCACATTTGTACATTTTTCTACGTTTGTTCCAAACTTTTCACTTCTACTGCTCCATTGAGAGATTGTAATTTTAGGAAGTACCTGGTTTTCCAGTCTTTCTGGGGGCTTTCCTGAGGATCCATAAATCATTATCAGGGAAGAGATACCCAGTCTTTATATGCTGCTTGGAAATAATTGGTTGCTATGGTTCCAGTGGTAGCTGGAAAATATATTCAGGAGTTGCACCTTTATTATAAAACTTTTTTTCATATACTGTTAATAGCAGTGGAAATTTAATAGTATAATTGAGAGCTAAGAAATATAAAGATTTTAATAAAAGTATAAATACATGCATTATTTATACAAGGGTAATATTTAAGTGTGTTTCTGATAGGAAAAAATTGGTACTTGAAATTAATTTTTATAAGCACCTTACCTAATCTCTCAAATAAATTTATAGTCATTTTTCACTAATGAAATGAGATTTTGTCTCTTCAATTTGCTGTGTTACTCAAAGTGTCTTTAAAATCCTAAAGCAGGAATATTTAACACAGGAAAATTAGTGAAAACAGTAATCAAGATGGAGGTGAAAATAAGGACTAGAAACTGAAAAATATGTTCATTCAGTCATTCATTGAATGACCATTTTGCCTGTACTCTGAACAAACATTCTTTCAGACCAGGAGTTCTTAATCTCTTTTGTGTCATAGACTCTTTGACAGTGTGACAAAGCCTATGGACTCCTCAGAATAATATTTTTAAATGCATAAAGTAAAACACACAGGATTACAAAAGAAACCAATTATATTGAAATATAGTTATCAAAATGTATTTTTTAAAGTTCATAGAACCCAGGTTAAGAATTCCTATTCTAGACATAGGGAGATATAAAAAAGATAATTATGACATAAAATAAAGGCCTGGAGTAAGTTACTCGTCATAAGGAATGGTTTAAACTATTTTCATAACTCTTAATATGACTTCTTCTCTGCTTCCATGGTACCATTCTTACTGTGGTGCCCAGGGCTTCTCTTCCCCTTTAGTCCTCGTTTTTTATTCTGCACTCCCAAATCAGAATCCACCTTGTACTTGCCTTGGCCATAGGTGGTCCCTTGTGTCTAATATGAAATCCACTATAGTAGCCAACACATAATTGTTGCTGGATACATCTCTATGTTCTAGTCCATCTTCTTGATATGTTTGATAAATACTGATTCTAAATGTATTTATCAAACTTTGTCATTCAATGGCATACTTGTATTTGTAACATGTATATTTGTATTTGTGTATTTGTAACACTCTCAAGGTTCTTATATTTGTAACACTTAGGATAAATGTTCTTGCTCTCACTCTCCAATAAAAACTTGTACAGGGGCAAGGTCTATACTGAAGGAGAAGACTTTTGACTAACATGAAGAAGATGGAATTACCTATTTTCCCACTCCTTTTATTTTTCTTTTCCCTTTGTTTCTGTTCCTTTCTCCCCCTTAATTTAATAAGGACTTATTAAGTGCCTTTATATACATGGCCCTAGAGAAACAAAATAAAAATGAAAAATAATCCCTTCCCTCAAGTAAGAGACATTCTATTGGATACAATACTTAAAAAGATAGATATATTATAAACATGTTATATACTTGTATATACATATACACACATCTATCTTTATATCCCTTAGACTAAAGAGTGAAATTCTTAGAAGTTATTTAGTCCTACTGTTAGCACTTAAGACTCAAGAGGTTACTAAAATCTTTACTAGATCATGCTGACATAGATAAATCTTATGACATTTATTCTTTGACTTTTAGCAAATGGTATAATATCTCTTTAGTTAGTATTTTGTTGCTATACAGGTAAGAATCTTATAAAGTGATTCATTCTTTTTAAAAAATGGACAGATTTTATTTTTATGCCATAATTTCTCAATATATCCCTCTCTTCTCCCCAACTCAGAGACCCATCCCTTATTAAATGAAAAAGAAAGAAAGGGGCAACCAGCACATTAAATGATTCAAATATTGTGTGGTAAATATTGTTTCATAACTAACTAGTTGTTATTAGCTAATCCTGTGACTGGCTAAGTGGACCAGTTATCTTTGTTTCTTCCATGACCACACACTGCATCCCTAACCACAGAATGATGTTTGGAAGTAATTGACCATAGAGGACCTAGATCAGATGGACCCACGTAAATCTATTATATCTATTTTTTTTTTTTTTGGCTAGGCAGTGGGGTTAAGTGACTTGCCCAGGGTCACACAGTAGTAAAGTGTTGTGTGTTTGAGGCCGGATTTGAACTCAGCTCCTCCTGAATCCAGGGCCAGTGCTCTATCCACTGTGCCACCTAGCTGCCCTGAAGCTATTATATCTAGAAAAATAATTCAAAGCACATCTCCCTGTTGTAGATAAAGACCTAAATGCACATGGTCATAGCTAAATGCTACAAAATTATGATTAATAATTTACCTCTTTCTTAGACTGGAAGTCTTTATTTAATAGAAACTCTTAATTAAAATAAATATGCTCTTCCTGGAGAAATGTTAATATCGGTGGTCATTTAAGCATACCTAGGAAATGTATAATGGAACAGAATTCTCTCAGTTTAATCTTAAAACATGATATTATCGTGTTACTTTCCCATTCAAAATTCTAGTTGGTTCTCCACTGCCATTGGAGACCTGGGTCTTTAGAGAAAGTGGATTCAAACTTAAAGTGGCTACTATGAACATATATGTTCATGGCTTCAATCAATAAATCACCAAGTATTAGGCTCCCATTATATACCAGCTACTGTGCTATATGCTTAACATGAAAAGAAAAACAAAAGATTTCCAGCTGTCAAGCTTATGTTCTACAGGGGGAGGTAATGTATGTATATATGTATACATATGTGTATGTATTTGCAAAATCAATTCAAGGTCATGGAGTTGGGGAAGAGGCCCTATGTGTTAGGAGTGTCAGGAAAGTTCTCATATAGCAGGTGGGGTAAGAGCTGAGCTTTGAAGGAACCAGTATTCTAAGAAGTGGAGGTAAGGAGGGAGTTTATTCTAGGAATGGGGAAGAAATCACGTGAAGTCACAGAGGTAAGAGATGGAATGTTCTGTGAGATTAACTGTAAGAGTAATGTGTGTGTGTATATATACATATATATATATACACACACATACATACACATATATGTACACACAGATATACATGTGCATACATATATACGTATACATATATACATACATACACACACATAAATATATATATATATATACATATGTATGTGTGTATATATGTAGTTTGGAAATGTAGGTTGGAGCCGGTTGGTAAAGGACTTTAAATGCCATATGGAGGAGTCCCCCAGAATATGTTAAACACAAGACTGACATGGGCAGACCTGTGCTTTATGGAGAACCACTCTAGCCGCTGTTTGTAGGACAGATTGGAAAGGGGAGAGACTTGAGACAAGGAATTAGAAGGGCCTTGCAGCAAACCAGGGGAGAGGCAGTGAGGGCTCAGAACATGGTGCTTGTGTGAGTGGAGAGAAGGCAGTGGATGTGAGAGGTGTTGAGGTAGAATCAACAAGACTCAGCACTTCAGATGCTGGGAGAATGTGACTAGAAGGATGGTTGTGCTATTGACAGAAATAGGGAATTTTAAAAGGGTGGATTTGGGGCCGGGGGAGGGTAGATAATGAGTTCTATTTTTGACAGACTTACTTAAGGTGCTGCCTACTGCAAAAATTCCATTGCCCATTATGTTACTCCTGACTTGAATTTCTCTCCAAATCATGATATGCTTTGGTTTACAGCCATAGAGCAGGAATTGCTGATGTCAGAGTGCTGGGCTTTTTGGGAGGCAGCAAGCAGCCTATGTTTATTAAAACTACTGTACATTTTCTCTCATGGTTCATGGCCTTAATGGTGACTTCTTACTCTAAATTTATGTTCCCATTATTTATTTATTATAGTGTGGGCAACATGTGTTTTAATTTGCTTTCATTTAATCATTGACACTAGAACCATAGTCCTGTCCTTACTACTATGGATTACTGTGTATTTGTTGTGTTCTTGAATTTGGTGTAACTAGTGAAGTGTCATCTAGACCTCGGAAGATTTATGAAATTTTGCCATTAATAGAGAATCCTTTTTTAGTTTGGACCTTTTATAGGACATCTCCCATGACTTTGGCAGATACCAAAGGAGAACATATGGCTGGCTCCCTGTTTTATACCACACTTAATGTCAGTATTCAGCAGATCAATGAATATAGTTGTTTCTATAGTCCCATCTGCCATAGAGTCTTATCTAGTTTTAATCCTTTGTTGGAGGAGGCTGTCTTTTGTTCTACCAGGTTAAATGCTTTTTTTTTTTAATTTTTTTTTTAATTTTAGGCATTTGGGGTTAAGTGACTTGCCTTTATTTAATAGAAACTCTTAATTAAAATAAATATGCTCTTCCTGGAGAAATGTTAATATCGGTGGTCATTTAAGCATACATAGGAAATGTATAATAGAACAGAGTTCTCTCAGTTTAATCTTAAAACATGATATTATCATGTTACTTTCCCATTCAAAATTCATGAAAAGAAAACATGAAAACATGAAAAGAAAAACAAAAGATTTCCAGCTGTCAAGCTTATGTTCTACAGGGGGAGGTAACATATGTATATATGTATACATATGTGTATGTATTTGCAATCAATTCAAGGTCATGGAGTTGGGGAAGAGGCCCTATGTGTTAGGAGTGTCAGGAAAGTTCTCATATAGCAGGTGGGGTAAGAGCTGAGCTTTGAAGGAACCAGTATTCTAAGAAGTGGAGGTAAGGAGGGAGAAATGTTAAAAATCATTAAAAATGATGCTATAGATACTATCCAAAGTGAGCAAAGAAAAAGA